TGCGTTCGGCCCGAACGGCCGAATGCCTTCCGAAGGGGTCCCGTACGTTCGGGCGTTCGGCCCGTCCCGAACGCCGGCAACCCTGGTCATACATATATATATTTTTATTATTATTTTGTATTTTAAATTTGACCCTGAGGCAAAAGATGTCCGGTTTAGTTTTCTGCATAACATAGTATGTACAGTATCAACCACAGGACCTCCTCTGTGCAAGCACGGATTCGAACCGGCGCCCTCAGCCTCAAGAGCCGAGTTTCTTAACCACTACAGCCATGACATGGTGTACAAAAGTGAATCCATGCCGGTCGTGATATTCAACCCACCCCTGCATGGTTGTAGTGTCCTTCAACTCACACACCCACACACACAACACCACACAAGGCATCTGCCACACAGGCAGTAGTCGCACACTCCACTCTCATCCTGCACAACTGCTTATCCAACGGTTTTATCCACGGGCCACCTCCGCCAGGTATAATTTCCGGGCTGGTTACCCGGTTGAAGTACAGTATGTACAGTATCAGCCACAGGACCTCCTCCGTGCAAGCACGGATTCGAACATAGTTTGTTTCGGAGCTTTTGGATTTTTTTTGTTTTTTTTTTTGTTGCTGACCTCCCTGGTCGTTGCACGGCCGGGCCGCCCGGGAAAACAGGGTGACCTGGGCGGCCCGGCTGGTAGCCTAGCATAATTGACCATGAGTGTTGATCCACTTAACAACCTTCATAATGTATCTTGATTTTCGACCGTGTCATGGCGCAAATGCTTCCGGAATGAACCAACATTTTGAATGTATCGGGGCCATTACAAGTTCCAGATACGTTGAGGACATTCTGTGGTATAGTGAAGCCCCATGTATGCCGTATTGATTATGGTGGGTTCAGGGAGGGGGGAGAGGAGGGGAGGAAGGAGGCGGACGAGTTGGATGCCTGATGTCAGCTTGCTGGACTAGGAAAGCTGCTCAAGTGTGCACTCTGCTGGGTGTACTCGATAGACTTCGTTCACGCCTTTTTGACGCACCTTTTGTTAAGAAAAGAAGCAGAAATCTGTGTGTGTGTGTGTGTGTGTGTGTGTGTGTGTGTGTGTGTGTGTGTGTGTGTGTGTGTGTGTGTGTGTGTGTGTGAGAGAGAGAGAGAGAG